CAGCTCTTTTTGACTTAGAAACTATCATTGTCAAACCACTCACAAGAGGGAATCCTTGTGAATGCTTGATTTGTCGCATTGGCCGGTTGAAATTGACTGAAAAGCACCCTCTTGACACTGACACGAAAGAAGAAAAGATTTCTGACAAAAGGTGCTCAAAATGTCTATCACTAATTGGTAGAGGAGAGAATATAAGATCTCTGGCAGTCAAAGATGGTAAAGTTGCGGGACAGATTGCATTTTCAACAATCACAAGCAAGAATGCATCTCCACATGGAACAGTTCGACTTTCACAAAACAAGGGTATGAGAGCATTGCCTATAATTCCAGGTAAACATATGGTTACATCATTTAAGTATTTTGGTAAAATATTTGCTGTGAAGTTAATTTTCATATGTTTTAGGACCATCAAGTGCAAAACAGCTATTCAAGGATCACCCAGTTGTAACAGCGCAAGATCTTGCTCAGGTGCTCAGGTTCAAATAAACACAGGGTTGTCCAATAATGGCATCAGAAAGCTTGCAACAACAATCAACAATGTAAACACAACCAAAGTCTTGGAGCCATACATTGTTAAAAAATTTCAAAACCAGCGGCATATACAAACGCGGACAAAACAACTTCAAATTACATTGTTGCACATTGCAAGGGTCTCAATAGTCTTATTGAAGGTTTACTTTTGACACGGAAGATTTTTTCAAACCACGTCATTAAATTGGGGATCGACGGCGGTGAAGGATTCTTAAAAGTCTGTCTTGGAGTTTGTGAACTGTAAGTTGCTGAAGAACTTGGATCTTTTGCAAACATTGGCTGAAAAAGACAATGCTTTTCAAGTTTTTCCCATCATTGAAACTTTTCGAAAATTTGCAAATGTTGTATCATCCTGTTTTAGCAACAAGTTGCACAGTCAGTTTGAAGAAAAAACTGATGAGTTTCGAGCTTCTTTCCTTGCATTGCCAATTGGAACTGTCACACCAAAAACACATGCTGTGTTTTTCCATATAAAGGAATTTATCCTGAGGAAAAAGATGCCACTTGGTATTTATAGCGAACAAACAACAGAAGCAATGCACCATTGCTTTAGTACAAATTGGGCAAGGTACAAACACCCCAATCAGTCATCCAGAATATGGAAAAAGGCTTGTGATGTGCCTTGTTGATTTTAACAGCAAGAATCTTTGGAAAAAACACTGAGCAAAAAATAAATAGAATTGGAGATTTATGAATAAATTATGTTGACCTTACATTAGAAATCTTTATGTGAGACAGAATGTACCTTTTTATCCCTTTAGAATAATGTTTTTTTATTTATTGTATGTGTTTTTGTTTAAAGAATGCTGTAAAAACACAAAAAATAGAAATGCTGTCATTTTACATATATGTGTAATAAAGGAAAATTTTAAAATTGATTTTCTTTCACGAACGTAGGCAGATGATTTTAATTTTTACATTTTTGGAATCCCATGGTTATAAGCTTTCATAGGAATGTTGCGGTTTTCTAGGGTGCGGACTGGACAGTTATCTCCTATTTTTGCTAAGAGTGCATTGAAAGAAACTTCCATCCTTTTAAATAATAAATTTTGTATCAAACTGCGGTGCTCTGTGACAAGACCTAACGGTCTTGTCACAGAGCACCGCAGAAGTGCATTTTAACTAGGAAGTTCACGCCTCCTTCCTTACCGTGACGCGAAGATATATGTCTAGAGCTCGTTTCTAACATGGACCTTCTGTTTCTAAAGCAAGCTCTATAACCACTGCGCCACGGCCGCAACAGTTATTAAAGGTAATAAACTAAAAGACTCTAGAATTAGATTAAATCAAATAGAGACGGGGTGATAAATTCTTTAATAATAAAAAAAAGCCTTTATTTAGGTATTAAAAACAGCGAAAAAGAAACTAAAGATTCAGAATCATATTCTGCAGGAAATTATTAAATACTAAACTTCTTTTGCATTTTTCTGCACTTTTCATATTTTTGAATGTAGTAATCTTAGAACAACTATAGCTTTGGATCCGCATATAGTTGAATGTTCAAATTTTCAGGAGTTGTTTATTATACTTTAAAGTAGTGCCTGAACTAAGATCATCAACAGAATTAATTTTTTTATTGAAAAATTTGTATTTCCCCATCAATTTTTAGTCAAATATTTGGAATATTCACTAATATAGCAGCCATTTTGAAAGTACATAAACATATAAAATAATCTTAGTTCAGGCACTTAATCAATATGTTTTCTCTAAAGTGTAAAGGTTTTAACTTGATTGCATAAGTACTTTTTAAGCGATAGTTGTTTTACATAACTCACTTTTTATGCATTTTTATGCTGACATTTTAAAATAGCTTTTTTTAATTTTTAAAGAAATTTTTTTCTTCCAGTTATATTTTAATTAAAAAAATAATTAAAATCAAGAGTATTTTAGTTTTTTTACCATTAAAATCAAGAGTATTAAAGATTTTAGATTTTTTACCATGGATCAACCTTAACGGTTTATCGTTCTATTAGTTTATTTATCATATTATGATAATGTGCATCTCCTAAAAGCAATATTAAGCAATTGATTGATATTAAAGATGGTCAACTTCAAGTTTTGCACAATCGAAAACTGACTTTGGCAAAATGAAGCGATTTAGACGTTTTATGTAAAACTAAATCTAAAAATCTTTAAATTTTTCTTTTTCTAATTTCCTTTTTTTCTTACAGCTAAATCAGTTTATTCAAAACCGATAGTGAGCTTGTAAAGCTTTGTTTGTGTGTTTTTTGCGAAGAAACAGTAGCTGCTATTAAAACGCATACAGATTTTAAAGAAAGCTTTTGAAGGTACTGACGTACTTTTAGGAAAAAATATATATATATTTTTTGCGTTGTTAATGTCAAAGCATCTGGTACGGGCATTCAATTTAGAAAAAAATTATTACATTAACAACTGTCAAATTTTATAAAACCTTCAGGTAAACGAGTAAATCAGTTTGCACAAGATAAGAGTACTGCAATTGCACTCACATGTGGTTTTACTGATCTAGTGGAAAAAATATTGAGTAACGATTCAAAATAATTATTAAGTTAATTTTCAAACTTAAAATCCACTTGAAAAATCTTTTTCTAGGCTTCGACAGGGATCTGAATGTACATACTTTATAAATGTTAAGTTAATACATACTTTATAAATGTTAGGTTTTCCTTTTATAATTTCGTCTTCATTTTTAAATGAGTTAATTTAGAAAGCATCGACCATTACCAGTATCCTATATAAAAATATTTCAATGTAAGTAATAAAAGTTTAATTGACCATCATAGCATAGCAGCAGTTGCTATGCCCTGGGCGTCATTAAAGTCTCTATTATCATGCTTATATTTTTAAAAGAAATTTAAATTAAAAACATATACAGTTCTACAAACTAATAACCGCGTTTTTATTTCAAATACTTTTGTTTTGCATTCATATTTTCACGAAGCGCATCTGAATTGAATAACACTTACGCGACACATTTAACATTTACTGATTAGGATTAATAGACAGACTCTTCGAAATATTGAAAATACTCTTTTATTGAATTTTTACAAGAAAATATTTGTTGTTATTGTTATTATTACTATTATTGCTATTATTATTATTGTTGTTGTTGCTATTATTTTTATTATTATTATTATGTCATATAACGACAGAGATTCAATTCATTTTCAATATGAGTGTCCAATAGACGCTTTTATTTTATAGCGCAGTGAACGCGGGACGTAAAAAATTAATCTTTTGAACCTCTTTTGAACGTTCAAAAGGTTTTTTTTAGATCACGTGCCAAGTGACCCAACAATTTCTTTTTAATCAGTTTTTATTTTTTAATTAAAGGTCTTTCACCTTCTGTGACAGAAAATGACATTGTGTTAAAAATTCGAATTAGTATTCATATAGAAAAAAGATGACTCATTTAAACTATTAAGATGCAAAATATTTTAGATGAAGTTGTCTTCTATATCCCAAGCTTTTATTTTTTCGGTTCTTGATTATTTAACCAGATGAGTAGGATCTTAAAGAAGCAGTTTTCATAATGCCAAATTTTGATTGAACTTTTTGAATGAAACGATAAAGTGCAGCGTTAAACATATTTCCTCCAAGCTGATGTTCAGGGATCTTGTGAAAATAAATACATTTGCAGGTTCATCAAGATTTTGCTATCATCATATGTTTTGCTAAAAAAATTGTATTTCATAACCAAGACGAGTCATATTGCTTATTTTGAATCGTTGTTTTAGTTAAAGCTGAAGCAACGGCTATGATATTGCCAAATGTGGCGTATAGTTTGGTATGGTAATAAATACAGTCTGGTAAGTCATTGAAAAAGAAAAGAAACAGCAGTGATGCAAGAAGGGACGCCACTAATCATTTTTTTTCCTCTCGGACATTTATTTTCCAATTACTACTCATTGCTGTTTATCATATAACCAACCAATGACCCAGTTTAATAGCTGGCCTCAAATGACATTGACATGAAGAAGTCATTGTGTGACACTTTGTTGAATAATATGGCAAAATTGATAAAAATTATGTTAACCAGGTGTCCAAGTAAACTGCCTACAATAAATTGTTGCAGAATTCGGTTTGTTAAGCAACTTTTGTAATGTACAGACTCATCTGGAGAAATTAGATTGTTGATTATGTTTCATAATCCAATTTTTGATAATTTACTCTGTCACCTTGCATGGTATCAACAGACACCAACTTGTAGTTATAAGTATTGACTTTGTCAAGGCTTATAACTACAAGCTTTTGTTTTTTAATCTTTCATCTTTGTACATTATAAATTTTAGAAAGAACTACCCTATTTGTGGCGTGTCTTATGTAGTCATTCCAATTTTATTTTTAGTTAAATACTACAAGACTTTGCTAGATTTTCGCATTAGTATCACAATGAGATAATAAATAAAAATACGTACTTTTAAGAAATAAAAATAATTCTATAAAACTATATATTTTTTAAACTTTCATGCTACAAAAAACAAAACTAAAAACCACAAAATAGTTATTTTATTTACAAAATATTATTGACGAAGATTAACATGTTGCGCAATATTGTTCACTTTTTACACATATGTTACATAAACAAAAGAACGTGACACGAAAAAATAAACAAAACTGATCAACATAAAATCGCAGGATTTTATAACAAAGTTTAAGCAGTAAACGACTGCTGAGAGCCGTCGCCTAGCAACAGAACAACACGCTTTTTTGATGTCCAAAGAATGCGAATAGTTTTACCAGCCATGTTATTATCTGGTATCGCGGTGTTGTATGAATGTATGCATTTTATTGTGGAGCTTAGCATGCCCAAGAGACTGCTGCTAGTCTAAAATTAGGCATGATCATTGTTTTGATAATTTTTTATTAGTATTTTTAATGAAAAAAAAAATAAATAAAGAAATTAAAAAAAAAAAAAAAGTAACCTGATAAAAGTTAATTTTCTTATCCGAAAACGAAAATGAAGCAAGATATTTCCCTTCAGGAGAAAAAGCCAAAGCAGAAACTGCTGTCTCATGAGCTGGAATAATCTGACACCTTGAAGATCTCAGTTCGTACAAAGCAATGTGACCGAGTCGCGATCCAACAGCAAGACGACGGGTGTAATTGCAATACGAAACCATTCCAAACCTATTATATAATTGAAAAATTGTTCGTAATGATAAAAACATAATTAAAAATAAACCTCTAACTGTTGATCAAAAAAGTTAAATGTTTTTGAACATATATTAGACAAAATATAAAAAAATAAATAAACTTTTTAAATAATATATACACACACAGATGGGCATAGGCTAGTTTGTTAAGTAATTTACTTACAAAGCTTGTAACAATTAACTTAAATAACGCAAGAGGCTAAAAACTTTTGGGATCTTAAATGATTTTTTTCTTCAGCAATAAAATTCTTCTTTTTCCTTTTGCCACTTTAAATTTAAACAACTACCTACTTTTTTTTTTCTTAATTTTTATTTTTTAGCATAGATACCTTTCTCAAATGACAAATATTCATAAAAAATATAACCTAAAACCTCAGTATTTTCACTAAAACATCTTCATCCGTCGAATATCTCTTTATCTGTCAAATATCTCTTCATCTGTCTTTGATTGTTTTAATTAATTACAAAATCTGTTTCACTTTCAAAACAAGATCCTTTAAATGAAGAAAGATCTGAGTGTTTGTAACACTACAAATAACATCTTATTTCAGTGTGTATTATTCAACAGTGTTGTTTAATGTACAAACAGCCTAGCCATAATATTACGGTGTTTTGTCTAAAAGGGTTAAAACCGATAGAGATAAAAAAGCCTTCAGTTAATTTGATATTTTTTTGTAATTAAATAAATGAGAAAGGAAAAATGATTTGATAAACATAAATGAAAAAAAAAAACAAGTTTTAGAATACATTTATAAAAAAGATCAAACTATGTGCATAGTATTCGCTGTCTTATATCCTTATGATCGATTGAAATTTTGACGATTTTTAGATTGCATTATTTCAACATCTACTTGATCAATTCTAAAATTCACCCTCAATTTTACCACATGTAATTTTAATTTTGTATAAAGAACCGCCCCTCAAATCTACAAAATATGTCACTTTTTTTGTAACAATAATCTATAAATCTTGGAACTTTATAACATTTTTGCATGCTTTCTGTTTTCCTCAGTATTCCCTTTACTATTGTCAGCAAGATTCGATGACTTGCTGCTCACAACTATTCGGTTGATTAGTTTTCTTTTGGAACAACATTGAATCTATTTTATTTTTCTTATACGAATTTATTACCTTTTTGAAATGCCAGTACCAGATCTGACCAAAATAAATTTTGCAGTTTAAGTTTTTTAATTAGAAGTCGTTTTTCCAAACATTCAGTCATGTATAGATTAGATGACAAAGTTTGGTTTGTTTGACGTTTCTTCATTTCATACAAAATTTCATACAAAGTTTGACTTGTTTGACGTTTCATACATATTCGTTGTTTATAACTTAAAAACAATATTAAAAAATTGAAAAACTAATAATTAGCAGAATTATCGGCAATATTTTGGGTTTTTTTTTACATTTTTATTTATTCTTAATTTAGTAAACCAATAACACTTAATTTACAAAATCAAGAAAAGTTATATAAATTTTTTCATCGATATAACCACTAAAAAATGGGTAAAACGTCAGTTTGCCCATCAATAAGTGCAAATGCGATTAAAAAAATTTAAAATACTCAAAAAAGAAGAAACTGTTCAAAAAGCATCTTTTTTAGTTTATTTATAAAACAATGGGTGTTAAAACATGTGAATATATATAAAAACACCTAAAATGTATAACATATCAAAACAATATATCAAATTATGTGTATGTCTGTGTGAAAAAATCACATACTAAGTTAAATAAAAAAAACTTTTAACAACATCATTTAGAAATAAAAAACAATAAAACAAACTGAATAATTTTTAAGCAAAAAAAAAACAAACAAAACAAAATGCAAAAAAACTGTAAAAACTAGTTTGCAAAAAACTGAAAAAAACATTTTTTTTTTTTGCATTTACAAGTCAATCAGCATATTTAATACCAAGCAGTTTTTCAAAAAAACTTTTTAGAGCAGGAAAAAGTATTATATCTAACTTAATCTTTAAGTTAATCTTAAGCACAATTGATCTTGCATTGTTTCAGATGATCATAATGTGAACATGTAAATTTTTGGGAACTAATAATCAATTAGGTTGGTAGCAATTACAAAATCACAGATGGCCTGGGAATTAATATAAAATTTCAAATTTTCTTTGTATTTCATCACAAATATTTTACTTTTGATAAATTACACTTTTTTGCCACTAGATATGGTAATATACTAATATGTACAAATACTGCAATGAGGATATACATTATATTTATATGTCACCATGATTGGTTGAAATTCAAACTATTTTAAAACTGAATTTTCTCAAAAACTAATTAATTTTAACACCTTTTCTATTAAGTTATACTTGTATATAAACTAAGTATAAAACAAATATTTTAACTAAAACGATATAATTATTCATTATATAAAGATTATAAATAAATATAGAAAAAAAAGACTATAAATAAACATAGTACTAAACATTAAAACGGTACAAATATTGAGTAAATATAAACTTAGCATAAAAATAGTACAAACTAAGTATAAACTAAGTATGAAACAAATATTTCAACTGAAACCGCATAAGTTGTAAATAAATATAAACTAAATATAAAACAAACAATTCCACTAAAACGGTATAAATTATAATTACATATAACCTAAGTATAAAACGAATACCTCCACTAAAATGGTATAAATAACAACTTTATACTTGGTTTAAATATAAACGAAGTATAAAATGAATATTTCTACCGTAAATGTATAAATGTTTATTAAATATAAACTAAGCAAATATTTACTAAATATAAATTAAAATTAAATATAAACTAAGCATTCAACGAATAACTCCACTAAAACAGTGCAAACCATATTTAAATATAAACTAAGCATAAAATAAATACTTCCACTAAACAATATAAATTATAATTAAACAAAGTATAAAACGAATATTTCTATTAAAATGGTATAAATTATACTTAAATATAATCTAATTTTAAATCGAATAACTCAACTAAAACAGTATAAATTATAATTAACTATAAACTAAATAGAAAATGTAAAAGTGCACAACAAAGAACAAAACAAACCAAGAATAACAAGGAACAATAAAAAATATTTTCGCTGCCCCAACCCAAAGCCTCAGCTAATGAGGTAACAACTCCTTTGTGTGCTCTCTCAAACTCATTCGATGAATAGACTCACAGCTCCCTAAATCAGTATTCCCTTATGACAAATTGTAATTAGAGGTAATCCACTGTTACTCAGGGTGGTATCCCTCTTAATAGTATACAAAATAATATTATTAATGGCGGTAGAAAAAGAAAAGGAATTTGAATGCAATCCAATATCCGCATTAACAAACTGGCCAAAAACGGCTAATCAATCATCAGAAACAACTACAAGACACAACAGCTGGATTCAGTTAATTGCAAACTACAACAACTTCTTCACAAACGCACCCAGCAAACTCAACAACTTATTAAGAGGTCATAGCTAAGCCCAAACCAACAGCAGTAAAGGCTATTGCAAGAGCTAAAAGGCTATTAAGAGGTCATAGCTAAGCCCAAACCAACAGCAGTAAAGGCTATTGCAAAGGTTACCGAACAAAATAATAAGATGCAAGCAACTATAGAAACTTGTGTAGTCATTTATGGTTTTCCTATCTCAAAAAATCACAATGATGACAAAACTGCTGTAAAAGGTGTTATTAAAGCCTTTAAAATAGGTTCCACTCACAAAATAGTCCATAAACCTCAAGCAACTAAAAGTGCTCAAAAGGACGCCCTGCTACTCAACCGATTGTTGTCCAATTTAAAGACATGAAAACTAGAAACAGTATACTAGCTTCCGCAAAAAACCGGTCTTATAGCAGTAACGTAAATTGAGGCATTTTTCGGCTGGTCGACGTACACGGCAAATGCCATCACTCCCAATGATGTTGAACTTTGATTCATCACTGAACAGGACAGTTCGCCATTTCTGCACATTCCAGTCAATATGAGATATAGCAAACAGTAGTCTTTTCTTCTGGTTCTTTAGTGAAATCAGCGGTTTCTTTGCAGGGTGTTGAGAAAACAATTCGGCTTCAACAGCACGTATTCTGATTGTTCGGTCAGAAACAGGCAGCTCTAATTCCTTTTGTATCTCAACTGATGATATCCAGGGATCCTTCTTGACGGATCTGACAATCATAGAATCTTCTCTAGAAGTAGTGGAACGCGGTCTTCCACCATTGTTATCTGCTGCCAACTTTCCTGTACAACGATATTTGGAACATAGTCTTGATACGGGCCATTTTTTCACACGATATTTATCACAAATACTTTTTTGTGACATTCCACTTACGTAATTGCCAATAATTTTCTTTCTTAGTTCTAATCCAAGACTGTCGGAAGCCATTTTTGCACTTAAAGTCATAAAAATAATAAATTCTTATTATTTCTGGAAACTTCTGGAAACTTCTGGAAACTTCTGGAAGCTTTTGCATGCTTCTGGAAACTTCTGGATACTTCCCTTAATTATTAAAAAACTTCCGTGACATTGACACGAACCAGACTTAAGAAAATGAAACAAACCAAAAAAGTTGCACTTGTTTTGTCCGCTGCAAAATGGCATTTGTCAACGAAACTCTGCCTGTGTGCTATCACCTGTGAGCTGATTGCTCATGTCATAGCATGCTATGACTCCAGACTCCTGAACTGTTAGTATAGTTCGTTTTGTTTTTAAGACATGTAAAATTAGGAAGACTTTTTAGCATTGTTCAATGTTGGTTGCAAATGTTTTGTCCAATACTGTATATATATAAACCAAATTCAGGCATGTTTACAAATATATTGACTAAGTCTACACAAGATACAAAAAATCACATAAAACTAACTCTTCTAGATATAAATTGGTATAACCAAGATATAAGAACAAAATATCCAAAGATTACAACAATCATACAGAAATATTACAAGCTGCTTTTCAATTTTATAACATTATATATTAAAAATTACATATCTTCTGTTGAGAATATTTCAACTTAGCTCAATTAAAACAGTCAAAAAATGTGTGTGCTTTAAATAAATTACCTCAAAATAATTAACTATGTAAATTGCAAACAATTATAAGGGATTTCAGATTGAGGTTGTTTCTGTAAACTAATATTAATTTATTGCAGTCTTTTTTATAAAAATTTTTAAATTGTACTTTATTATTATTTAAGCTTCATTTTAAACCTGTAAACCCAAGAAACTTCTAAAAAATGTAAGACATCTTATTTAGAAGAAAATACCTATAAAAAAAAATGTTAGCTTATATATCATCTCACTTAGTATTATATCATCTCACGCATCTATCTTATATATCATCTCACTTAGTAGAACTGTAAAAAAAGCATACTTAAACAAAGCTGGACAAATTTCAGTCAAGCCTTTTTCTTTTATTGTTTTAAAGTCCAACAAATGAACAATTATATCAACAACCTAAAATAATTAATATAAAAATAAAAAAACATAAAAAAAGAAAATACAATCATTTCAAGACATTAGTAAAAGCTATTACAGGATATAAAGTTATTACTATTTACAAGATAATAAAATATTACTTATTACAAGATATTACGCTAACTCAATACAAACAAAATAAAAACTACATTAATTTTTTTTTTTTTAAGAAAAAAAAAAAAAAAAAAGATAAATAATAATAATAAAAAAAAAAGATATGCAAATAAACAAAGTAATGTATAAGAACAAAACACATAAAAACTAAATTTTTTTTCAAAAATGAAAAAAAAAACAATAAACAAAAAAAAAAAAAAAAAAGCAAAACCTCAACAATAAATTCAATGACTTGTTGCTGATTTTTTTCAATCATGTACTCCATGACACGTAGAATTTCAGAACGTGCACTATGAAGAACTGTTGACATCGGTGCTTCATGTAAGGCAGATGGCTGCTGACGTACATGAGAATACACAGCAATAGCAGCTGGAGAAGGTTGGGTAAAAGACATTGATGATGTATATGCCACATGTCGTGCAATCTATATAACAGTTTTATTTTGTTTAGTTACAGTTACCATAGTTACAGTAGTTATTTTATGGATTTACAAAAAGACAAAAAAGGAATAAAAGAAAAAAACCTCTTTTGCTAATGTTGTGATACAAGCTGAAGGACGAGCAGTTGAAATTAATGACAAAGCATGTTTTGCTGACCTATGCAAATCTTTTGCAGCAGGAATTGAGAAATTATGAGTTTTTTCACTCTTTAGTTGGTTATCTATATCTCCACACAACTCAAATAATCCAATTATAACCTGGGAAACATCAATATGAGGCTCCCAGAGTGCAAATCCACGACCTATAAGATCAATAGCAGCACGTCGAATAGCACTGTAAGCAGGTGTTGAAGAAGATTGTCTGCGCAGAAGAAGAGTAGTTAAAGCCTTAGCAGTCATGCGTACAACATTAACATCCATATAACTATTTGATCCTAGAAAATGAAAAAAATTTTAGCTGATAAAAAAATATTTTAGATGCGCTGTGACAAAAATAGTTTTTTAACTATGAAGTTACTTCAAGGAGGTAGCATAAATTAGCCTAACATTGTATGGTAACACTGATTAGTAACATCCTGAGGCCCCCAAGGTAAATTTTAGTTAACTCTAATTTTTTTGTTTAATTATTATTATTAGGTTTGGTAAAAAGTTTTAAAATAACTTTTAAAATCTAAACTAACTTATACATACTTTAAAACAGTTTAACCTAAAATATAACATATGGAGGTATATGATATGGTGGTAGGTAATAGATATCAGAATATTTCCTCCAAAGTTCCTCAGTTAAAATATCTTCTTTTTCAAAAAAAAAGTTCCAAAATTTAATAATTTATGCTATAAAAAAGGGTCATTTAAAAAAAAATGGATAGGGTATTAATAGTAAAAGAACTCTGGACACATATTATAAATTAACATTAACAAAGTTTATAATACAACATTAATGCCATAAATGTAACAAAAAGTTTGACAACTAAAATGCAAATTGAAATTCCTAATAATAATACTTTTAAAATAATAGCAATTATCTGATTCTTAAATTATATTATTTTAAATATTTAAATAATATTTTCAATATTATTTAATAAAAATAGCAGCTAAATAAAATAAAATTTAATAAAAAAAACTTAAATTTGTCTATACCAAACTTATACTTTTCTTAAGCTGTTTTGCATAATCATTGAGTTCCAAACAATGCTTGTATCACTTCCAGACTTGACAGTGGTAGTGATGACCTTGTTCTCTGGCCTGCTTGGTATATACACCAAGCCCAAATTTATGATGAAGAAAAGGAACAAGATGGCACATTAAATTATGAACTTTCCAGCTAGTATTTAATTCATAATTAAACTATTCCAGAAGATGAAACTGCAGTTTTTCAAAAACATTTTTAAAAAATAAAACTGATTCGCCAAGTTAAAACTAGGGATTGCAATCCCGCACACTTTTCAATCCCGCGGGATCTGTGCGAATTTTTTAAATTATGTGCGGATCCCACGGGATCCCGCGCAGGATTGGTAGATTTCTTATGCACGTTATAAAAGGCAAAATGATAATTGTATTTTTCTTTCAATTATTTCAGAAAAAATATACTCAACTTATTAAATTGATAAGATGAGGTAAAAAGCCAAAAACACAATTCATTTGTAAATCAATATAATTCTTAATTTAATGAACAAAAGGATAAAATAAAAATACGTAAAACGTCTTTTAGCTTTACATAGAGTGTCTTTTAGCTTTACTTATTTTTAAAAATAAGTATGAGAAAGTATCATTGTAAGAAATGTGCTCTTAACAAACAGACCCTACTTAAAGTATCATCACATAATCTACTCCTCAAAGGACTGCATATATAGCCAGCAGCTGAAAAAGCTCGCTCGGCCTCTACGCTTGTTGGTGATATGGTCATCAAGTAATTATGAGCTATATCTAGAAACTTGCCTCTTACTCCGTTATTTTCATAGGCAGACATTTCCTACTTCAATAATTTATCAAAGTCTAAAGAATCTAAATTTGGTATCTCCTTTACATTTTCTGTCCAGCTTTTCTTGTCTTTCTGTATATGATTTTCCCATTCTTTTTTCAGCAATAGAATTGTAGGAGTAAGTATTTGGGAATTGTTAATAGAATCTACAGCTTCTTTTTCTTCGAGATCATTTTCTTCGTCTTTATTTCTTTCAATTGTATAAACTCTTGTCAATATTTTTTTCATTTCTTGACACATAACGGTTGTCTTTGGCATTGAAAAAGTATTTTCATTTTTTTTCATTTCTTGTTCATATTTTTTAGGATTTTGTAAGTAAACCAGTAGTCCATTTAAATTCAAACGAATTTCTGACCCAACATCAATTAAGGCTTTTTCAGTACACACTTTTAGTCTATGAAATCTTTCTAACATATCAAACATACTGTTCCACCTAGTTTTACAATCAAGAATCAACTTAAGCTTTTTGCCGTGTTCATGTAGGATATACTTCTGTAAATATGTATCATTTTTGACAGGAGAGTTTTTAAATATTTTCACAACCTTTCTCACTTTTTTCATGAGATCTATGTAATTGCTAACCAATTCAGCAGATAGTCGGTCCAAATTTATTGTCAAACCATATTCTTTATTTATAACTTCATCATCATCAGTGTTCTCATGTTCATCTTCTTCTTCGCAATTTTCATTTGTAGTAAACGATTCTTCAACTTTTTCGAAGAATCGTTTAACTCGTTTAACAAACTCCGTTGATTTTCTTGTATAAGATATCAAAAACTGCAAGTATTACATGAGCAAACATAGTTGATGATAGCAAGACATCATTTTACCAACTTTCTCCATCAAACTTGCTTCATCAGTGGTCATGGTGATAATGTCTCTTTGGAGGTTGATATTGAAGCTATTTAGTCTTCCTGCAACTAACTTGACGCAATATTCTGCATTACACAATCCATAGATTCGAATCAATCTAAGATTAAAGTGTTTTTCCTCCATATGTACATTTAAGTTAAGGTACCTCTGACTATTTTGTGATGTCCATTTGTCAAACGTTATTGAAAACTTTTGATTTTGCTTTTTAGTGATATAAACTTTTGCATTATATCGGCTTTTACAGAATCTGAGAATTATACTACCATCGATCTTATAGTATTAGGTGAAGTAGGGAGCCAGAAACCACTCTTTGAAAACAAATACCGCAAATCTGAAGATGTGCAAAAACTATTAAATGTAAAGCCATCTTTAGCAACCATGCACGAAACCATTTTTTCCATAGAAAGTTCTTTAACGAAAAACGTGTCTATTGTTTTGACCTTTTTTGATAGAATTATCTCTTCGTTTTCGCAGTCAATGTATATTTTAGACTCTAGTTCAACTGATTCATGCTGTTTTGAAGTTGAAGCTCCGTCTTGTTGTAAAACGTTTAATTTTAAATCAGTTTCATGTTTAGTTCTCAAATGCACTAATTTTTAAAATAGCCGAACATAACATGCACTTCGCATTTTCTCCTTTATTACTTTTTTTAAAATAATTCCAAATAGTTTTAATTTGCGACATGCTTAGTAGGTACTTTTGTTTTAAAATCTTGATGTAAATAATTTTGAAGTCTTTTTAAAAAGTAGTGTGCTTTTTATTAATCAGGGATTCAATTTTCTCATCAACTCATCAACAAAAATTTCAATATACTCATTAGCAAAAATTTCAACATAGTCATTAACAAAACAAAAAAAAATTTGAACAAGTTTCTCAGTAAACATTTCATTGTGCACTTAAAGGGATCCCAAACTCCCAACACATGTTGTGTTCATATTAAAGATAATGTTAAAAAAAAAGGTTTGAACCAAGTTTTTTTGATTAAAAATAAATAATGAATGCATACCGAGAAAAACTAATGTTGTTGTTTTAGCTGCGCCTCGCATTCTCCATTTTTTTGAATAAGTCTACCGTGACGCCAAATACTAAAACTCTTAATTCATAAAAGTTTTAGTATTTGACGTCACGGTAGACTTTTAACAAATGAAACTCTGGAAATATTTTTATTTATTTTAATTCGAACTTTTTTTGATTATTTGTTAAGTTTTTTTTTTCCTATTTTTAACATTTAGAAAGATATTAAAAACCTCAAATATTTTATGCTGGTTCGTTGCTATAAATTGTTATTGCGCCATATATTTAATGTTTATTAATTATGAATATTTATTATCTCAATCAAGACTGATAAAAAATTCTTTTACATTAATTACCCTTATAAAATTAGTAAAAGCATTTTTATTTGGTTGATAATATTTTGTCTCAATTTGCTTTGTATGAAGTTCAGGAATTCAAGCGAAAAAAATTAGTTTGAATAATCACTTTGAAATATATTCAAAACAAATTATTTTAATGACGGGGGTTTAAAAGTTTTTAATAACAAATGTAGGTAAAAAATAAATAATTAAATAAAAAGTTCAACATTAAACATAATTTCTTTATTATATCAGGTCAGGTCAGGTTTTCCTGCTACTGGTAACATGTAACAACCTGCTCATGTCCTGCTGCCTTGTAGGATACGCTTTTTTAGGCAAAGACTAGGAGAAGTTAACTCCGAATTAAAACACCCCCTGCCTTGGGGCTCTTGGTTGAGTAAAGGCTAGAGATGGTGTCTCGATAAAAATACTCATCTTGGGCAGATGTTACATGCATCCAGCTGCTGTCTTGTAGAAGGCCTCCTAGGCAAAGACTTAAGGGGTAAACAGATTCTATCTGTTGACCAGCCTCGCACCCCTTCCTCATCTATTAGGCTGGCGCAGATGTATTTTTAATACATTGTTTCCAGTTTAGGATGTTGAACGCTGGATCTTCTTGACTCAATGCGTGGGTATTGCTTGTGTCTCTATTTTTATGACTGGGCAACTCATTCTATTATCTCCTTATGAGGGTACAGCTCTAAAACTCAGTTTTATGGTTCTGAGGCCGGCTGGTAGTCAGGTTTCCCGAACTCTGTGGTAGCTCTCAGAGAGGCTGATTCCATCAACAGCCGAAAAATATCAGAGTACTAACAGTGCCATGTTGCGCATGGATGGTGTCCCTGTTTGTACTTTTGGTGTGCATTGCAGAGGCCACATTTGGAGCCCTTTGTTACGGCTTAGGGTTTATTAATAGTAATGAGGCTATTGCTTAGTTGTTAAATAGTGTACTGAGTACTATCTATACTTGAGTCAAGTTCTTTATAAATTTAAAATGACTAAAGTACCTAAAACTAAAAAACACAAAAAACCATCGTCATCACCAAGTTCTCTAAACCTATCATTTACTAATATTCGTGGTCTTCGAAGTAACTTTTCTTCTGTTGAGTCTTATCTCTTGCAAAGTTCACCAGACCTACTTGCTCTTTGTGAGACTAATTTGAGTTCGGCTGTCCCATCTTGTGATCTTAGTGTTGATGGTTATCTTCCTTTAATTCGTAAAGACTCC